ACCTTACTTTTTTCACCATTGAATTTCATTTTGTTAGATAGTGCCCAGTGTTCAAGTCTGTCCAGGTCCTCCTGTATCCTAAGCCTGTCTTCTGGAGTGTTGGCTATTCCTGCCAGCTTGGTGTCATCTGCAAATTTGATGAGTTCCCCATCTATCCCCTCATCCAGATCGTTGATGAAGATGTTGAAGAGCACTGGGCCCAGAACAGAGCCCTGGGGCACCCCACTACAAACTTCCCTCCATGTAGATGCGGTTCCATTGAGGACCACACGCTGAGTATGGCCGGTCAGCCAGCTACGAATCCATCTGGTGGTGATGCTGTCTAACCCATATTTTTCTATCTTATCGAGTAGTAGGTTGTGATCTACTTTTTGCTTCTGCATTGGGTACAATTGTATAGGTCCCATTTTTGTCAATCCCATATTTTATGAGCTTTATTCATGCCATCGTGTGAGTGCTGTCACCTTGGTGCTGAATAAGCAGTCTAAATAGACCAATACATCATTCAACTAGCCAATAAGGGAATACAAAAAAAATATATCTCCAAACAGTATTTCCTTGACCTGTTTTAATCCTTGTCCTGCATTTGCTTTTGCAATAAGAAAACAATTTATTAAATAAGGACACTGGAGGGGGTAAAAAGGTAGCCAGTGTTTGGCAAATGGCAAAGAGTCAGACTGACTGGAAAAGAGATAGTGGCAAAACACAATGGTGTCCTGACTTCAGTTTGGGGCAGAGGAGTTTGGGGCAGAGGGAGTTGAGAAGAAGAGTAACTTTGACCCAATAGGATACCATCCATCCCCCAACTTCAGAAGTTTGCACTTTTCTTTAGTGCAGCAGCTAACTGGCAAAGATGTTCATAGAACACTGGAGTCACTCCTGACATGGTGGGGACATAGAAATAGGCCAGTCTCTGGTATAATCTTTCTACATGTCCATAATATAACTGAAATCATTGGGCTGACAGATAACCATTGGAAATAGACATAATCTAGAATTTTAATGAGATTAAGGGATTCCCACAGAATCTTGAAAGCCTGTTAAAACCTCTCCTGACTTCAACTTATATTGTATTTAAGACTGTTGAAAAATATTTCTTTGGAGTTTCTTTCACAAATCAGATTTTTTTCCCTAATAGCTCTGCATACTCCTAACCTCAATCACACTGTTATTACAGAATACCATACTCTGAGTCCATTAATCATGTATATGACTTGTCACAAAAAAATAAGATGTAATTCTTTTTGGAAAAACTATAGTGGATATTTTCTCACCAGCATCCATAATCAGAAAGTCTCTCTCTCTTTTTTTTTTGCTCAGCAAAAGTGAATTTGCAGTGAATTTCAGCTGCTTATTTCAGATGTCTCAAATGTATTCTACATGATATACAGTATCTGTTCAATATTCATATAACTTGAGTTGTTGGTTATTGAAAGCTCACTGAACGTGTTGTGAATTTATCTGCTATTGATCAAAAATCTTTTGGACATGAGATTTTAAGACTAGATTTTAAGATGGGCAAAAAAGGAACAGGATCCATCATAAAATATATTCAGGAACTGAGTAAACAATACATTTGCATTGTTGCTAGGATGCCGTCTCTCTATGAGATATTACCATATATTACCATATAAAATATGGCAATATTTTTACAGGCCAACCTATGGAAAAAGGGGAACAAGATGTTTTTAAACTCTTCAATGTTTGTGTTTCTTTTGATAGACAATGGTGATTTTGACTTAAAAGATGCTCTTGACCCAAGTAAGTATATTAGAAAATAAAAAATTCTTACTGAAAAGTCAAATGTTTTCATTAAACTGAATTTTGTTTCAGCTTATGTCAAAGGTAGGTAACATTATTCTCATGGCAACCAACAGATAGATACTTCTTTTCATGCCCACTAGACTTCCTGCATCACTTAATTTTTAAATGATTTTTTTTATTTTTTAAAAATGAATGGGATGTGACATGCTGCAAATCCAACCCTTAGTGTTTAACATCCTAATAATTTTCAATACTGGTTCTCCACATGTGTGTCCCATAAGGATTCTTAGAAAATTAAAATGATGGATGACTACAACTAGACCTTTGTTTAAACAATGTATTCCCACCAAATCAGATATAGTAAATGGTATATACCATTAATGTGTTACAAAATTTTAAACATGTGGCTGTGCATGCTGCCCTGAACAGCGAGTAATGCACTAATGCAGCCTCATAAGATTGTAAACTTTTAACATTATTATGTGATTTTAGCAATATTTATATACATTAACTTTG